ACTCTTATATTACTGAGGCCTATCCTGCTACAGGGCCCATTCGTGTTCTGGTCCGCACTCAAAACTAGAAACTTCCCATGTAGGTCACTGAATAAAGTCAGAACAATCTTCACAAGCATAGAATATTTAGCCTTCAAAACTGAAACAGGCCCACCAAGCACTATGCTTCTTTCTTACTGAGAGAAGCACAAGATACAAGAACTTTTCCTCTACTTTGAAGGACATGTCCTAGCTTTCCCTAGGTCATCAGGCCCCTAAAGAGTTCACATATTTGGCAGTCTCCTGAATCTCTATAGGGTTTCTCTCTCATTCTCTGGGGCCCTTGTGTTTAATCATAGCGTCCAGAGCACTTGCCACATCTTGCCCCTCAAGTCCTTACTGTTTATTACATGATATGATCAATAGAGTGGACTGATGTGATGTTCTATGGAACATCATGTTATGTCCTGTTTAAATGGTCCACTGTCAGATAAGGGAAAAAATTCCTTAATTATTTTTACTGTTTTGTGGCATATGGCAGCAGAATTAACATAGAGCTGGAGGGAGACCATACATGTGTCTGGTCATCCATCATGTAAAAACATGGAATGCCTCTGACCTGCCTTCACGATCGATATTGAAAAGAATGCACGTACCTAGCCAAAGTCCGTGCACTTGAAGCTGTAATCTGCCCTAGGGAAGATACCACATACAACACAGCAACTACAATTGGGATTATAGTTTGGTTAAGTTTATAAGAATCCAGTATAATTTGTCATGATCCATTATGGTTCTTCAGGAGTCAAAATGGTAAATAGCTATGAGTTGGGGCCACTAACCTTTTATTTTTTTTTTATTTTTAATGTTTTTATTTATTTTGAGAGAGAGAGAGAGAGAGCGAGCGAGCACGAGTGGGGGAGGGGCAGAGAGAGAGGGAGATACAGAATCAGAAGCAGATTCCAGGCTCTGAGCTGTCATCAGAGAGCCTGGCGCAGGGCTCAAACTCATGAACTGCAAGATCATGACCTGAACCGAAGTCGAATGCTTAACCAATTGAGCCACCCAGGTGCCGCTAACCTTATATCCTTGAAGTCTTTTAAGGTGACACTAAGCTCTATTATTCCCATTGGACACAATATTGGTTTTTATTTACCATCTTCCCTCAAGGAGATAGCTTCAGAGATGTTTGTTTGCCCTCTCTTACCATAACAGTTTTTGGTCAAAGAACCAATATTTTTTTTTTTTTACAAATAATTTATTGTCAAATTAGTTTCCACATAACACTCAGTGCTCATCCCCACAAGTGTCCTCCTCCATGCCCATCCCCCCCTTCCCCCCACATCCATCAGTCCTCAGTTTTTGTCAGCATTCAAGAGTCTCTCATGGTTTGCCTCTCTCCCTTTCCCCCACCACTTCCCCCCTTCTTCTCCCCCTTGTTCCTCCGTCAAGTTCCTCCTAATCCTCCTATACGTGCAAACATATGATATTTGTCCTTCTCTGCCTGACTTATTTCGCTCAGCATAACACCCTCAAGGTCCATCCATGTTGCTACACATGGCCAGATTTCATTGTTTCTCATTGCCATGTAGTATTCCATGGTATAGATAAACCACATCTTCTTGATCCATTCATCTGTTGATGGACACTTAGGCTCTTTCCATGTTTTAGCTATTGTGGAGAGTGCTGCTATGAACATTGGGGTACATGTGCTCCTATGCCTCAGCATTTCTGTATCCCTTGGGTAAATTCCTAGCAGTGCTATTGCTGGGTCATACAGGAGTTCTATTGTTAGTTTCCTTAGGAACCTCCACACTGTTTTCCAGAGGGGCTGTACCAGTTTCCATTCCCACCAACAGTGTAGGAGGGTGCCCGTTTCTCCACATCCTCGCCAGCATCTAGAGTTCTCGGATTTGCTCATTTTAGCCACTCTGACTGGCGTGAGGTGGTATCTCAGTGTGGTTTTGATTTGTGTTTCCCTGATGAGGAGGGATGCTGAGCATCGTTTCATGTGTCTGTTGGCCATCTGGATGTCCTTCAAAGAACCAATATTAACAGTTCTCCTAGCCACGACGTATGGCCATTCTAACTATATATTCAGAAAACAAAAGATAAGGGCCATTTATCACGTGACTTGTATATGCCCCTACCCTACCCTAATACAGTGGCCATAATACTTGGGGGTGCTTCCTAAGAATCAGCACAAGTTAGGTCCTGTATCCAAGTTCCTTTGATATACTGTTGGCTTCCCATATATCCTGTCTCTAGAGAAACCATTTTCTATTAGCAATCTCCAAAGATCCTCATGGTCAGCACCGGTTCCAGGCTGCCACTTTGACCTTGCTGCCCATTACAGTAATTCTGACGGCCTTGCTGATGACTGTTAAGTGCTGCCATCTGGCCTCAGCTAGTCACTGGCCATGGCCACCCTGGTTGGGGATGGGGAAAATAACCCCCTGGCTTAGGTGGCTCTCATTTAGCTGAGAACAGCTCTCTGGAAATGGAGGATGCTGTTGGCTACAAAACCTCATAGCAACTGGGGATGAAAGCTCTGGCCAGGTGAAGGGTTCTGGGCAGGCGTCACAGTGTCGCCAATAATAACTTCTGGTGTTAGGGTGATAACTAGCTAAATATCCAGGAACGCTGTTTTCCTGGGAACTTTGTCCCTTCCCTACACCTCCCACTCTAGACAGAACTGCCAAGACATGCTGAGTGGAGACTTCAGTGCTGGTAGCGTGTTTATGACGTCCTAAAACATATGACGAGAAAAACTAATGACCAGCATCATAGAATTACCTATAAATATAGGTTTCCTTGGCTGTTCATTCGGTTATTTAAGAGAAAAAAATGACTATAATGGTCAGATTGTGATTTATAAGGGCCAGGACCTCTAAAAACTCTATGGCTGTCAGTACATTTGAACATCTACCTGCACTCACAAGAGTCTCTTTATCCTGTGACTTGGCCAAGCCCTTGGTCAGTCTGACATTGCACAGGGAAGCTCACAAACCCAAGAATACAAAGCGTAGATTATCGTTTGCTTTATGATACTTGATCCTTTAAAGTGACAAATGCTTTGTCTTTAAATGCAAGTGGGGCACCTGGGTGGCTTAGTCGGTTAAGCGTCCGACTTTCGCTTAGGTCATGATCTCATGGTCCGTGGGTTCGAGCCCCACGTCGGGCTCTGTGCTGACTGCCAGCTCAGAGCCTGGAGCCTGTTTCAGATTCTGTGACTCTCTCTCTGACCCTCCCTTGCTCATGCTGTCTCTCTCTCCTAGAAATAAATAAAACATTTAAAAAAATTAAAAAAAAATAAATGCAAGTATTAAACCCTGATTTGATTGTTAAAATACTGCACCTGTTACACCTGGGTATATGTGATTTTAAAAGCTAAGACTTTTAGGAGAGTGTCTTGGTGGCTCAGTCAGTTAAGCCCACGACTTCAGCTCAGGTCATGATCTCACAGTTCATGAATTCAAGCCCCATGTTGGGCTCTGTGCCAACAGCTCGGAGCCTGGAGCCTCCTTCAAATTCTGTGTCTCCATGGGGCACCTGGGTGGCTCAGTCGGTTAAGCCTCTGGCTTCAGCTCAGGTCATGATCTCATGGTTTGTGGGTTCGAGCCCCGTGTCGGGCTCTGTACTGACAGCTAGCTCAGAGCCTGGAGCCTGTTTCAGATTCTGTACCTCCCTCTCTCTCTTACCTTTCCCTGCTCACGCTCTCTCTCTCTCAGAAACAAAAATTTAAAAATTAAAAAAAAGCAAATTCTGTGTTTCCCTCTCTCTGTCCCTCCCCCACTCATGCTCTCTCTCAAATAAACATTAACAAAATTTTTTTTAAAAAGCTAAGACGTTTTTTGTTTCCTTCTCATAAAGATGGAATTACCTTTCTTATGGTGAACATATTTTGATGAAATGAAATTCAAATCCCATCGTATGATGAAGAACTTACATGCTTGTGCTTAAAACTTGGAAATCCTACAATTTCTAGGAGAAATTGATGGTTCAGGGGGACTACACAGGCTATTTGAAAATGAAGGTTTGCAGTAGGTGGAACAACGGTCATCTCCTAATCACTGGAAACCATGTATGTACCCAAAGGGGGAATTTCGGTTACAGATTGAAGCCAGATTCCTAATCAGCTGGCATTAAAATGAATAGAGTCTCCTAGGTCAATCAAATGGACCTAATGTAATCACAAGTGTCCTTAAGAAAAGGTTGAATAGAAAGAAGGGTGCACACAGACACGATATTGCTGACTTTGGAGATGGAGGAAGGGAGCCAAGAAGAAAAGAATGTGGGTGACCTGAAGAGGGAAGGAAATGTATTCTACCCTGGAGCCTCCAGAGGAACATGACATTGCTAACACCTTGATGTTAGCCCAAGAAAGCTAAAATCTGACCTCCAGAACTGTAAGAAAACACATTCTTTGAAGCTGCTAAATTTGTAATAATTTGTTACAGCAGCAATAGAAAACTACAGTAAGATTGTTCTAGAAATCAGGAACACATCACACGTATGCCTTTTGCTCATCCTTTTGGTCTAGAATAATTTTTCCCACTTCTATGTGGGAGCCTAGACATAATTGGTGGTACCCAGATGGAGAAAAAAAGAAGGTAGGGCTGAACATGTGGAGTGAGAACTAGCAGAGAGTGTGGGAAAATAACCCTTTGTTTGTGTAGACACCAATTAAAGATGTGTGAATCAAGTTCAAATGCAAGTGAACTTCCCCCCTTCAGTGATCCAAAGTAAGGGCAATTTGTTATGCCATTTCAATATTTTCTCTGTTCGTTTCTCCCCAAAACAGTTTAAGCCTCTTAAGGAACGTATGTGCCGCAGGTCTTAATTTTTATGATCTGCAAATTTTAAAAATTCTCTGAACAAAGTGTGAGTGCCTAACGATGTAATGTGTAAGTCAAATTTTATGGATCAACAAAAATTATATCTTTTTACTAACAAGCCTGTTAGGTAAGGACCACTGGAGAATAACCACATCTGTTATTACTGAAACAGACTTCCCAACATAATTAAAGGCTTTGAAAATAGCATTTATTCTTATGACGGCCACGAGAGGGCACTAGAACCTTTGTAGAAACTAAAAGCCAGCCATCAAACCCTCCCCAGGGAGTTTGTTCTTGGAGGAAGCAACACAGCAGAGCAGAAAATGAACACCAATAGTAGATTTCAGTATTTTTTTTGCCATGTCATTTTACTAGATATATTTTCTCTTGTTTTTATTTGTATCTTACAAGTCAATCTCAAAAAAACAAAGCAGAAGAAAGGAGCCATGCCTCTTTTTATCAGTTCAAAGAGGGTAGGTGACAGAGAATGAAAGCACGATGAAATTGAAGGTGTCATTTCCACATTATCATCTTGCCCCAAACACCATGCAGTGCTAAAAGTCACATCCCCATCATGCAAGGACATTAAAGTCTACGGTGACTAAAAATTCTGGTTTTTTTACGGGATGCTAAATATATCCATGGGGCATGCTTCCCCACTGGACTCAACATGAAGAAGTATCAATACAGAGCAGTTAAGTCTCACGGTAAGAGATATGGAAACACTTGTTTTTAATAGAGAATCATTTTTTATGTTTTCTGTGGTCTACGGTAGAATGGGGAAGAGTAAAAATGTGCAGAGGAAGCAAGGAAATTGCTTCCTGTCTCACAACATAGAAAAACACAGGAGCTGTCAAAATCTTGTTCACAGAGAGGAGTGGCTTTCTGTGACGGGTGGAATTATTCCTGCTCCCTAAGCCGTCTCATACAGGTTGTTAAAAATCTAGTTTCAGGGGCTTTCTAATTACATATTACAAAGCAGGGCGGTCACCTGACATTTTTAGGGCTCGATTTCTCTTGCGAGATAAGCATACAAAAAATGAGAAGGAAAATAAGTTGGAAAATCTCAAATATCATATTCTAATAGACTGAAGAAGAGATGTATCCTAAAACTAACCAAAAGTTATTGGTTATTTTTGATATATTGGCCTGTTTTAGATAGGCATCCTCTGTACCTAAATCACTCACTTAAATCTTCTGCGTGGCTTTGTATCAAAATGCTACAAGGAAAAGAAATTGGGAGAGGAAGGTTTAGGGCCTAACCCCTAGTCATTAGGCTCCATCTGACTGGAAAACAAAACGAACTCCATTTCTTTAACTACCTCTTTCATCCGCGGATCTCACAGCACCCAACAAGCATGTAAGTTACAGAAGGAAGGAAAGGAAGCACAGAGTGGGGTCACACCCCAACTCACAGTCAGCCCAGCAGCCGGCTGCTGCAGGAAGGACAGTAACCCAGCCCTGAGGAAGAGACTGTGCTCAAGCAAAAGAGCCCCCCTCAGGTTTCCAATGGATGACTTCACAAAAGCCACCCCAGCCACCCTGGCAATGCATACACACTGCACGTCACAGGGTTGGGGGCCCAACAGTGACCATGCAAGGAAGAGGGAGAGAGAGGAATGAGAGAAATGGGAGTTTATTTCCTCCTTGTCAAAAAGGAGGAATGATCTCCCACAGTCAACCCACAATGACCACTGGGGAGGGAAGGAGTGAGGCTCAAACACACAGATTTCCCAACTACAAAGTGCTACATAAATATAAGGCTTCGGTTTCGCACTGAAATCTGGCTCCAAATACAATCTTTCTTAGGCTTCCGGGAGTCTTGGCAGTAGTACACCTTATGATACTTCCTAGGTCTTTGATGCCACGCTGACGTTGTGCCAGAACAAAGACTTCTTAAAAGCAATAGACGCCCTTCAAGTATGGGACCATCCGATTCCGTGTGTGCTGCAATGTACCAGCCACAGAGATATCCTATCAGGCACGACTGTGGGTCTACAGGCTAACAACAGAGAGAAGTGGTCCTTCCCACAACCACAAAGGGGGTCCCATCCAGATCCTAATCCACAGCGGGTGCCACAGGTTTGGACCTGATTATGCTCAGGTTCTCTGCTTCCTGAGTAGCTGTGCTTCTTGTTCATTCCACAGCCTTCAGACCCTCCATCTACAGGGATGGACACAAGAGTTACCCCGTAGACCCATGAAATGACCCCAGATTCATTTCAGAGATGACCTAACCCTCAGGAGTAAACTGGAAGTCATCCAGTCTTAATATCCTTTGAAACAACAACAAAGGCTGGGTTATTCCTAAATTGAGTGTCATGGAAAGTGTCACCCACTCTTCCCATCACTTCCCACTGCCTTCTACTTCTTAGTGGCCACAGCTGAAGTTGGGACCCTGCAGAGGCAGCCTCTTACTTCCTAACACAACATAATGCAGAGTGAAAGTGTCTTTAGAGAGAGAAACACTAGCCAGAAGGTGAGCCTGGTCTAGAAAAGAGGGTCGAGGACCAGGCAGTTGGGTCTCATGTTCATGGGGGGGGGGGGGGGCATTCTGCACAGTAAGTGCTTTAACAAAGCCAAAGCTTCTAGACTAACCTGACTTTGAAAAGTAACTGAAAGGTTTGATTCAGGAATCTCATGGACCCCCCCCCTTTTGCCTTTAAGTTTGAGTGCTCTTAAGGAATTTACACTACATGGCCAGTTCCATGGGTATTCATGAAAAGCCAAAGTAAAGCACTGAGGTGTATTCACAAGCCCTGGCCAATAGTTTCTGCGGCACCTCAATTTATAAAACTTGTTTTGAAGTTGATCATTAGTATTTCAAGCCAAAGAAAAGAACGTGGAAGAATAGTATTCTTTCCTCCATTACTTCTCCTTCGCAAAACAACCTGCTTACACTGTGAATCCTAAACAATTAACCTTGAATAGCAGCTAATTGTAGAAATAATCAATGATGATTTCCAGAGTAAAGAGATTAAACCACTGGCCTCTCAATGCAGGAGCTTCAGGGTCCAATCTGAGGACCTGCACAGTTACATTCAGTGCTGGGGCCAACAGAAAACTCATCGGAGGCCAGGCTCCCTCTTCTGGGTAGTCCTCGGCCCAGTACATTCCACTTGGGTTAGGTGCTCCTAAATGTTTGTTGGGCCCTTGGGACTGCCATGCCCTCTTATCTTACAGAAGCTTCTAGTCTGCCTTGTTTCCTGTTTTTTTCTTTCTTAATACTAGGGTTGTTTTTGTTTACAAAGTATTAACACTTCTGTGTAAAGCTGGAGGAAATATTCAACAACTATTTCCATTTAGTTTGCAGACAAAATAAGAGGGTTATTTCCACTTCAATGTCAAGCCACACTTTGACTCTACAAAGCATACCGTGTTAGCCTGACAATTTGCTAGGGGTGAGGCCAAGCTGGGTTTTTGCTGGGTTGCGGTTATTCTTACGATGAGAAATATTCATGATTAGCAATCAGTAATTAGTAACAAAATGAGTTCTCTTCAACAACAGGCCCCAAAATTTCTATTAGACCTTAGACAAAAGACGGTATTCATTGTATTTCATTTGGTTTAGGGTTTGTGGGCATACATGTGCATAAAGCTTACAACATTTATTTCCTAGAAGAAAGAACCTAAGATGAAAATCCTTTTTTGGTTAAAAGAATGACTTATCACAGATAAGAGAAATCTGAACACTCTGGGCTAAGAAAGAGCGGGAGAGAAAGAAGCCAGAAAATGAAAAATTATTGGTGCATACCTCCGTATTTGCCCCACAAGATATCCTGAGCATTCCTCACACAGCATAGTGCAACATAATAACTCCAGTGAATCAACAGTCTTCCTATTTTCTCAAGCAAAAAAGTATATACTTGGAGAATATATATTGAGCAAAATGTATAATTACCATCTTTTAAAACACTAGTAATTTGACCTTCTATAAATATACTTAAATAACAAACAAGAGAGAGCTATTCACATAGGACACAAAGTGACACATAAACATACAAAAATAAAACAATCATATTTTAACACTTTTGTTGTTTTCGTTGGGTTTTTGGAGTGAGGCTATCAAAACCATTCAGACAGCAGAATCCCCTTGTCGATCTTGATCCGGGGGAAACCGGATATAAATGGACACTGTGCAGAGGCACCACACCCAGGGACAAACGCAGCAAACATTCCCTGCTGGACTTCCTTCTACCTCCTTCGGTGGTTTAGAAAGGCTAGGAGGGAGGGGAAGTCTCGAAGCGTAACGACACAGATTTCTTTAGCTGTTCTGTGGAAAGGAAATTTTAATCAGATCCCTGCCCCACTGGGGAAGAGTGTGGAACCATCAAACTGTCCTCTGAGACAGTGGGAAGATAGGACACGCCTCCTCTCCCACACACGACTCGCTCTGAAGTATTTCTCAGCTCATGGAAAAGGCACCGCCATTCTGGACCAAAGGCCAGAGATTTTGGTTCCACAATACCACAGGTATCTCATTCCAGCTGCTGCTGTGAAACGCATTCCTCCACTCAAAACGTAAATGATTCGAAGAATTCAACTACCCAACTCGGTGGAATATATACATTCTTACATTCTTCTTTTGGAAAACAACATTTCTATGAATAATTATCCCTGGTAGAACATGATCTTTGTCCATTAGAATCTTTGTCCCGCTCTTGAGAGCAAGGAACAGTATATACATTTCTGACATCCCACCTAAAGCCTAGCATAACCATGACCTCCAGGAGGAACACGGTGTTTGTTCAACTGGACTCAATTCCTCCGGTCTCCATGGAAGCACTGCAACCAGAGGACGACTCTTGCTCCTGACACAGTAGGTCCTCACCTAAGCTGCATCTTTAGAGAAGGACCCACTGCTTGAGGAATTGATTTCAGTTTTCCTTTTAAGGAGAGCTCTCGCAACATCTTGAGGCATTGCATAGGGTACCATAAAAAGGGAGAGAATGTTGGCTTGTCCTCAAATAGAATTTTCAACACGGGCAGAAGAAGGTGATTTCTCGAGTCCCTGGGGGGTGCCCTCATTGGAAGACGTAGGGACCCGCTGCTGCTGATAGATGTCCTGGATCAGAAGGGTGTTCATCAGCTTCCACTCCCTGTATTTTCTGGCTGTCAACTTCGGATCATCCAGCAACTGGTTAATCATGGCCAGGTCATGTTCTTTACACTGTCCAAGAAGGGGGGGGGGACAAAAAGAGGGGGGTGAGATGTAGTATTTTAATTTCAATAATCCCTCTTCAAATCTTTTACAAATACGCATATACATTCATCATAAAATTATCAAAGTGTTTTTACACATTAATATTCTAATCCCTAAGCCTAAGAGATACGGCAGGACATTCATTTGCATATATCTGCCAAGAAGAAGTTAAGTATCCTACCCAAGGGCTGGTAGGAGAACTAGACAGACAGCCAGGATCTTCCATGTGGATCTTCCCTGACTGATCCTTATTCTACACCTTGGTAGCATTTCTATCTCAGAGAGAGCTTTATTCCTTCTATAACTTATAATCATATAATCATTTCATTGACCACCCAAACTTCACTAAGTAAAACTAGGACATAGTCCCAATTCCCTAAGACATAAGATAGCACAAAAGATATTTATTTTTATTAAATTATCTTCACTTTTAATAACTCACATGCATGTGTTTAATTAACACACACAGAATAAAAGATATATAGGCTATCTTTTTATTCAAAGAAAAGACTACTAACCCTCCATCAAAACAGTGTGTGTTCCAATGATGCTAAGAGAACAATCTATCTGTATTGTTTCACCCTGCCTCCTCTGTAACCAGTATCACACACATCTGAAATGTCTGGCTCAGGTGAGGGGAGTGTTCCATAGTCCAGGAATGAGCTAAAAATGAGGTGGAACAGCCTCCAAGCTCAAAAAAAGTTCACTCAGTCCACAATTTTATCTCAGATCTATTCTTGTTTCCTCCGTCCCTCTGACTGTAACCCTAATTTTGAATATGAAGTCCAGAGCATCACACTTGATGCGTCCCTGCCTCCAATTCTCACTTCAAACCCAGACTCTACATGGCAGTGCAGAACATCCACCTAAAATGCTGAGTCCTCTAAATGGTTCTCCTTCATGTCCAAGGTTCTACAGATTTGCGTTCCAACTGTTGATCCCCACTTCCTCCTCATGTCCTGCTCTAACAGTGTTGATGTGCATCTCTCCCTTATAATGCCAGTCCACACTCCTCGATGTGGTGCCACAGGGAGGACCTTCCGTATCTTTCTTCTAGTGAACTCTACTTCCTGGAGTTGCCTTCCTCACATGGAACACTTTCCAATCTTTCTTTATCAGATTTTACTACAACTCATAAATCAACACTCACTTCAGGCATCCTGTTCTCCAGAAAATCTTCTCCAAACCCCTAAATTGCACTGAGAAGCTTTATTCATGCTCTCATGCCTTCCAATGCTTAGAACTTACCATGTTACACTTAGATGTTCATGGATCTGTCATGCCACCTACCCTTCAGCTTCTTTTTAATTTTTTTTAATGTTTTTTTTATTTTTGAGAGACAGAGACAGAGCAAGAGGAGGGGGAGGGGCAGAGAGAGAGGGAGACACAGAATCTGAAGCAGGCTTCAGGCTCTGAGCTGTGAGCACAGAGCCCAATGTGGGCCTCAAACTCATGAATTGTGAGATCATGACCTGACCAGGAGTCAGATGCTTAACCGACTGAGCCACTCATGTGCCCCATATTCTAAAGCTTCTCAAGAAAGGTGACATTTTATTGATTCCTGTGTGTCTTGCACATCACATGATGCCGAGTGCCTGGGAGACATAAATGTTTATTATTATTATTATTTTTTTAATGTTTTATTTATTTTTAGGAGAGAGAGAGAGACAGCGTGAGCAGGGGAGGGTCAGAGAGAGAGGGAGTCACAGGCTGAAACAGGCTCCAGGCTCTGAGCTGGCAGTGAGCACAGAGCCCGACGCGGGGCTCGAACCCACGAACCGCGAGATCATGACCTAAGCGAAAGTCAGACGTTTAACCAACTAAGCCACCCAGGCACCCCATAAATGTTTATTATTAAACCAATCTTTCTGCCTATCCCCAGGCCACCATGCGTATAGCTAAAAATTCACAACCAGAATCAGTGGTTGTGGTTCACATTCATGACCACTGCCATTAAGTGGCTTTCACTACGATCTATAGTCACATTTTCCTACCCCCTTTTTTCTCCCAATCTACCAAATTACTATTTCAAAACTTTTCATCTCTGCCCAAATCTCCTCCCCCATCCTCCCTTGCAGCTGAAGACTCTATTTTTTTTTTTCCTTAGGAAATGGAAACAATCAAAAGAATACTCCTCCCAAGTTTCTTTTGCCCACTACCTATATCCACACAAGTATATCCCTGCTTCCTTACTGTTCTTTTGGATGAAATATCTGTGCCCCTAGCAAAGGCCAATCTCCACTTGCACACTATCATCCACTCCCTCATACTCAAGAAATTCACTCCAGCAATTCTCCCCTCTTTCCCGTGACTCATTAATTTCCCATCTTCACTTGATAATCGTATGCCATTACCTCTCCCATCTTCAAAGCCTTTTCACAATCCCACATCCCTGCTCCAGCAAATGCTCCACTTTTCTCCTTGTCTCCAATGTCTCTCTACCCATTCTCTCATAGAGCCACTCCCATCAGGGTTCAACCCAAACTGCTCTTGTTAAGGCCATCAATGACCTCCATGTTGCTAAATCCAATAACTATCATTATTACTTATCAACAGCATCTGAAACTACTGACTCCTCCTTCTTGAACACTTTCATCATGTCATTTCTGTGACATTTTTTCTAGATTTTTCTCATTCCCAAATGATCATTTATTCTTAATCTCTATTGTTGATTCCTTATTCTAGTCCAATCTCTTAAGATTGGAGAGCTCTAGAATCTCAGCCTTTAGCCACTACTGTATGTAAATCCATGTTCTTGGTAATCTCATGTCTCCCATTTTCCCTATGCACTAAGAGTCACAAATTTATTCTGTAAGCCTAATCCCTCCCCTGTACTTCATACCTGTTTGCCTAAACTTCCTCTTTAGCTCCACCTGGACTTGACCTGGGCATCTTAAATATAACATGTCCAAAATGAAGCTCCTATTATTCTGAGTGCCCCACCCACCTCAACTTCCAATACAAACTGAAACTTCTTCCTACCTTTTGCAAAGCACCCAATGGCAACTCTACGTTTTCAGTAGCTCAGGCCAAACACTGGAGTCATCCTTGACTCCTCTCACTGCCAATCCACCAGCAAATCCTGAGTTCTACCTTCAAAATATGTCCGACTACAGCACATCTCACTGAGTTGAAGTTGAGGTTGAAGTTGAGATATTAGCAATGGCAATAAGGCACTGTATGATAGAATCCCTCACTGCCCCTCTGAGCTGTTACCCCCATGATCCATACCCCACTCGCCAAATGACCTCCATGCTCTTCCTTAAGCCTACTGAGCATATTCCCAGCCCAAGGCACTTACATTTTTGTTCTTCTTTGCCAGTAACATTCCGCCTCAGATAGCTTCATGACTCACTCCCTTTTTTTCAGATTTTACTCAAATTCCATCTTTTAAAAAGGCTTTTCATGTCTATCCTAATTAAAAATCATCCCTGGGGCGCCTGGCTGGCTCAGTCGGTTGAGCTTCAGACTTCGGCTCAGGTCATGATCTCACGGTTCATCGGTTTGAGCCCCGCGTTGGGCTCTGTGCTGACAGCTCAGAGCCTGGAGCCTGTTTCGGATTCTGTGTCTCCCTCTCTCTCTGTCCCTCCCCTATTCATGCTGTCTCTCTCTCTCAAAAATAAATTTAAAAAAAAACATTAAAAAAAATCACCCCATCACAGGGTGCCTGGGTGGCTCAGTCGGTTGAGCGTCCGACTTCGGCTCAGGTCATGATCTCACAGTTTGTGGGTTCAAGCCCTGCATCAGGCTCTGTGCTGACAGCTCGGAGTCTGGAGCCTGCTTCAGATTCTGTGTCTCCCTCTCTCTCTGACCCTGCCCTGCTCACACTGTCTCTCTCTCTCTCTTAGAAATAAACAAAACATTTAAAAAAATTTTTTTAAATCATCCCATCAGCATTCCTTACCCTCCTTTCTATTCTCTACCAAGTCTATCATCATTTAGCATACTATAAAATTTATTTATTTACTTAATTTATTTTGTTTATTTTTTCCTCTACCTAACCATAAGCTTCTTAAGGGCAGGCATTTTTGTCTGGCATGCCCACTGTGCTACCCCAAGTTCATAAAAAAATGGTTCAGACATGGTAGACATTCACTAAATGCTTCCTGGGAAAAATGAATATATGAAATAAAATGTGAATGAATAATCACCCATTTGCTTTTAAATCTCTTAATGTTTATTATTTTGAGAGAGAGGGAAGGAGAGTGCATAGATGAAGGGCAGGGAGAAAAAGAATCCCAAGCAGGCTCTGCACTATCGGCACAGAGCACAGCACAGGGCTCAAACTCACCAACCTGAGCCAAAATCAAGAGTTGGATGTTTAAGAGACTACCCACCTAGGCGCCTCTGCTTTTAAATCTTTTTTATATTGTGAATTCTATTTAGAGTCTAAAAAAATCCTCTCCATAAACAAAAATGTTTATATATGTGTGTATTTTATATACATAGTATTTATCATATATGTCATATTTGTTTACATATATAGATATTTATATCCATACATTTGCATACAGTTTTAGAGATTCTAGAATTGGTAGCATTTATTCGATCCAAATGAGGGATCTGGTCTTAGACAATCACAAACATTGGCACAAACATGTATTATTTGTTCTCACACTTAACTTTAACTATGTTTTACTTGGGGCATTTTACTACGTTTTGCTTCCTTTTTTCCCATTTCCTTAAAATGTGGATTTCCAATAAAGTACTATGTATTATAGTAGTCCGAGTGGTAAGATTTATAATTCTGAATCAAGGGAGCAATAATGTGATGACAGATGGAGATTAAAATATATAGATGGATTCCAGGAAGGAAAGAAAAATTGTGTAGGGGGAAAGTTACTACAGAGTGGTAACAAGCAGGTTGACTGTGAATCAGAAGCAGAGGGAAGGCTGGGTAAGTAAGTGGATAACTAGAAAAGATTGGTGGTAGAAAGTCAAGCAAGGCCAAGAGAGTTTTCTTTCTTCTCTCTGAGTTCTCAACACCTACATTCAAATAACAATCTTCCCCTCTAAAAATAATAATAATACTAAGCTTTCCTCCTTTGATATTACAGTAGTGCTACTCATATGAAGTTATTTAAGGAATTTTACTTTGTTCTTAAGAAATTTTGATATCTGGGGTGAAATAGGTGAGAGTTCAAACAGCACACTTCTCATGATGAGCATCGGGTGTTGTACACAAGTGTTGAATCACTATATTGTACACCTAAAACTAATATAACCCTTTATGTTAACTATATGGGAATGAAAATCTCAAAACTTAATAAAAACTTTTAAATCTATAATTTCTTTCACTCACAAAATACTGTGACATCGCTTCAGAGAGAGATCCTAATCTTTTATTGAAAGAACTAAATAAGATCTTTGCAGAGTAACAAAATTTGAAGACTTGATTTTCTTAAGGCAAAATGAATTGACCACCCCTCTCAATCTGGTCAAAGGTTTTAGGAAAAGATCTCTTCAACTTCGGCCTAACACCTCTCCTATAGTTCTCAGCTGTAAACAATTCAAGTTTTTTTACCATTTGCCTCGAGTCTGTGCTAAGTTCTTTTATGGATAAAAGAAATAGCTGGAGACGAGAATAGAAAGGAAGGAAACTGATGAAACAACGAAAGCCTCTGGATGGCTTCCTAGCCCAGCCCTGCAGTCAGCAGCCTGGCGCACTGGCCCTGCATCCTCCCCTGTGGTGCAGAAGGCCCACCTGATGCTTTTAACTACGGTTATAATATCCTCCTGGTCCTCTCGTAGGCAGGCCAGGTCTGGCAAGGCTTCCAGATAGTACCATGAAAGAGACAACACTATATGTTCCTTTGTCACTCCAAAGAGTCAGTACATGACCTGATTCAAGACCTAAGCGCTGGAAATGTGTTCTACCAGAGCAGTTGAGGAAAGGAGGGTTCATTTCTCTTTGGACACAGACCAGAATGATCCTGAGAGTAAGTTCCAGGCAAGCCCACTAATCATTCCATTAGTCATTCATTTTAAAATAAAGACAGGTTTATCTAAAATTCAATGGATGTTGAGTTATGAGAACTTCCTAAAGATCTACATTTAGTGTACGACATGATAGTTTGTTCAACTTTCTGGAAGAATTTCCATGAAGAGAATTAGTTTCAATACAATCCCAGTGCAGGGATTTTTCTTTATTTATGGAATGTGCCTATCACTAATGCAAATATTATTGTTAAAGGTTTTCTTGTTTCTTTATGAAATCCAACAACTTGGTGTGCCTGTCCACACTGCATCTTTGAAATATTTTTCAAATAACATTTATATTGCAATGTAATACGTACAGAAAATCACGTATATAAAAAGGTTTGTACCTGATGAGTTACCACAAAATGGACACATCTCGTAACCAAACCACCACTGAGGTCAGAAGGGACCTTACCCAGCACCTCAGAAGCTGTACTGTGGTCCCTCCCAGGCATCTTTTCCCCCTTTCCTCAGCTGCTCTGAATTTATGAACAATTATGATTAAATGTGATTCAATTAAAAATAGCTAAAGTTTTTTGACATGAATAAACATACAGGTACTAAATTATCTTTCTCTAGTAAATAGGCTGATGTACATTTTTTCCCCAACAAGGTCAATTTCCTCATCAGCATGTCTTCCCATCTCATGATGAGGTTCTCAGGAAACATGGATTATGTTTCACCAGCCTAGCATTACACTTCTGTGAGGCCTAAGGGATGTGTGGAAAGGGCTTCTTTCCAGCAATGTACAGAGACAACAGATGTTCAGATGGGTGTGATGCCCCTGAGATGGCCCCCTATGCTCCCTGCCTTCCTGGCATTCCCACCCTTATGTAATTTCTCCCTCCTTGAATACCGGCTGACTTTGCTACCAAGGTTCTATGTTCCTAATGCATAGAGCACTGTGACTGTCATGTAGTGTCACTGCGGAGACAGGACTGATCCATCTTGCTCTCACTGTTCCTGTCTTCCTCACTCTGAGGAAAGCCACCTTCCATTTGGGAGGCCACCATATGCTCACAGGGCAAGGAACTGGGTGAACAACTGGGACCTCAATCCAACAACTTGCAAGGAACCGGATCTTGCCAACAACCATATGATAGAGCACACCTTCCCCAGTGGAGGACTGAACACAGCCCCAGCTGACGCCGCGACTGCAGTTTGTGAGAGACCCCGAAGAGAAGCATCTAGCTCCGTGTCAAGATTTCTGGCCCATAGAGACTCTGAGCTGACAAAAATTCATTGTCTATGGTTAGTAAATTTGGGGTTACCTCACAATAGATAACTAATACACATGGAGAAAAGAAAAAGCTACTGAATTCATAAATTCCATAGCCACTGTGCATGGAGAGCAAGAGGTAACACAGAACCCTATTATGGGCCAGTAAAAGCTTCGAATTCTTTGTACAAATCTGGCCTCTCTGTGGCCAGGTCAGGGCATGGTCCTGTGACAGCCTGGAGTCCTGAGTTGCTATTATGTTCTTAGTTTTTCTGCTAAGATCATAGTCTTTCTTCTTCTAGAAATGGCCTGAACTGTCCATCCTCTCCTTAGCCTGCTCTTTGTTTCTCCCAACATGGGCTACAATATATCATCCACTGACATACATTTCCTCCTCCATGAATGTCCTTTCTTCTAACCCTTATATTCTTCATCTCTTACTCATGGACCAGCTGTCATGACCATTTGTCCCTAATGGTCTCAGAGAGGCAGCCATGCCCCACCTCTGGGGCTACCACAGCACCCAAGTTTGTATCAGCTATACCACGCATCAGACTGCATTCTACTTTCCTCTGTTTCCACCATCCAGTGTGGTGCACTCAAAGGTTCCAGTGCCCAAGAATAGAGCCTGGTACACAGTAAAATTCAGGAAATACTCATCTAATGAAAAAGGTATTCACTCGCATCAGTTATCACAAATAAGACAGTAAAATCCCAACACACTATGGTATATTACATTAAATGACCAAACGTTATTTATCAGCTTCATACATACCATGGAATATTACATATTTAGCTTTGAAAGGAGTGCTACTGATGTCTTTCATCATTAAATGTTAGAGAATGTCTCTACTTTTTGGTTTTCTTTGCATAATTAAAATACTCTTCTTCCTTTTCTTTTTCAGCCTCATTTTTTATAGCCTTTTAGGAAGCTTAGCTATTCTACTAACAGGGATATCTGACTAAGAAAGAGTCCTTCAGCCATTTCTTTGTAGCCTTGTCTTTCAGTTGCTGCTATTTCTTCCTGGAAAGAGACTTAAATTCTTGATGCAAAAGGACATGTACAACCCAGAATTAAACTGCAGAATCTATCAAGGTTTTTCAGCCATCTATAAATCTTCTGCTAATTTGGGACTATGTTACCAGGTATCCTAGCCTCCCCCTGTTCATGCTGTAATCTACATGTGAAAGCGGGATGCTTTTGTTGTGAAGAACCATTTTGGTTGAAGAGGACCCAAAAAGGGGCCCCTGGGTAGTTCAGTTGGTTGAGCGTCCAACTTCGGTTCTGGTCATGATCTCACAGTTCGTGGGTTCGAGCCCCACGTCGGGCTCTGTGCTGACAGCTAGCGTCAGAGCCTGGAGCTGGAGCCTGTTTCAGATTCTGTCTCTCTCTCTCTCTCTCTCTCACCCTCCTCTGTTCATGCTGTCTGTCTGTCTCTTAGAAATAAATAAAACATTAAAAAATATATATGAAGAGGACCTGAAAACAGCCTCAGTACATTTTGTACCCTGTCCCTCATTCCCATTGTGAAAACATCTGCCAGTCTATTCCCATTGAGTGTACCTTTTCCATTGCCTGCCTCTCACATGTTTCTTTACTGCAGAGCCTATGTCTGAGAATCACGAAGTCTTGGCTATATCTGAAATCTAGAGATTTTCTTCCAGATGTAGGGGAGAAGAAGAATGGGATGCTTTAATTGAAATTCAAAAATCTTATGAATCTCACTATTTATTCTCACAAGCTGACTGTCCTAGGCCTTCATCAACATTTATTGTGCTAAGTAAACGGTACCAAAAAACATTACACATGGGTCTTACCCTCCAGGAGCTTAGCCTTTGAACTTTTATACCAAAGTGAATGTAAAAATCAAGGCCTATCATAGAAAAGTGCATTTGGTGCTCCTGTGTGGATGTTCCAGTGTTTTAAGGATGTCAAAGGTCATCTCACCCTACGGAGATAATATTGGTTTTCACAGCCCTCCCCGCTGCCCACACAAACACACTGGTGAGCATGCATCTCTCTGCAGAAGCAGCCATTCCTTGCCCTACACCCACAGAGTTTACCCATAGTCTGAAATATTTTACCTTCAATGTGCTATTCAAGGTTCGGATTTTGTGAAGTTTCTCATTTATGGATGGATTCTTACATCGCTTCACAAAGGACTTTCTCAGCTCCTTTTTGGTTGAAGGTCGTCGGTCCCCGAGAGGAGAGAGACTAGCTTGCTCTAACGATTTGTAGAGTCTCTCCATTTCATCATCTTCAGACATCTTTGTTTCTTCTATTAAAATGACATTTAAAAAAAGCAATAACAATACACCCAGTTAAAGTCAAGTTGAGAACATTAGACATTGTGGTCTAACACAAGGCCCTGCTGACACTTGATCTTGCACTTCTAACTTCCGGAACTGTGACACAATAAATTTTTGTTGTCGAAGCCACTCAGTTTACAGCACTTTGATATGACAGCACCATGTTTCCTTTGAAGGCACTAGGGAAGGCTCTGTTCCAAGCCTCTCCTAGTTCTGGCAGTTCCTGGGCTTGTGGCAGAACTCCAGTCTTCATGGGGTGTTTTCCCTCTGTGTATGTCTCTGTGTCCAAATTTCCTCCTTTTAGAAGGACGCCAGTCACACTGGACTCGGGGCTCCCCCTTCTGACCTCATCTTAACCAGTTACATCTGCAACAACCTCATTTCTAATAAGGTCACATTCTAAGATACTTCTGAACTAGAATTTCAACATAGGAATTTTGGAAGGACAAAATTGAACCCATAGTAGTCCACCATCTAGCTCCCTCCAAACTCCTGTCCTTCTCACATGCAGAATGCATTCACCCCATCCCAAAGTCTCCAAGAATCTCCAACATCAATTTTAGGTCCAAAGTCTAAGCCAAGTATCATCTAAATGTGGTACTGGTGAGACTCGGGAGTATGATTCATCCTGTGGCAAAATTCCTCTCCATCTGTGAATCTGTGAAACAAGTTATCTGCTTCTAAAATACACTGATGGGACAAGCAAACTCTAGCAAACTAATATATAGCCCGAAGCTTGAGAACCATTGCCCCTGATGAGATATGAGTGTCCTTCCTAAAACTGCCCTTTGAGAGAAGGAATCCCCATGTGATATGTGGCTTTGATAATGATCATTTCTCAGGCTGCCACATACCTCCAACGCCCCTTCTTAACCACAACTCGCTAGCCTCACCCCAAATGCTTCTAGTGAAGTGACTCCACATAGGATCCGGGGAGGGGGGGAACCACATAAATTAGGCTAAATAAGGCAATGGCAGCTCCATCATTCTGACCACAGTCATTGATTCAAGGATGAGCAGGTGTCTCAGGTCAGGACAGCTGAGGCCAGGAAGACTCGGGTCTGAGACTTGGGTGGGATATCAAGGAAATTAATCTCTCTTGTTTTCCTAAATATGTGATAATGTGAGCTGGAAGCTTCCATGGATCACCCCAAGAATCATGAGAATGGAGCCAGTCTACAGGATACAGCTGAAATATGGGTCTTGGTCCCTCCACTGGAGTCCCTGCCACTCTGGGGAACCAATTATTGCCTTTGTTAAGCTACTGTCAGTGTAGTTTTCAATCACACACAACTGAAAGGACCCCAAATGATATAGGTTACCCAAAGAAAATCTTCATCTCTGGATATTGCTTTAATACCCACTAAGAACTTTGGTCCTTTATTCCTTCATTCCCTGAAAATAATTTCAAGAAAGATACACAACAAGATTTCTTTGTCCACATTGTACTTTTTTAGTGTCTGTGTGTTTCCCATCTTACCCTGAGAATGGCATTAGGAAGAACTAGAAAAAAAGGAGGGGGGGGTCTCTCTAAAAGGTAGCATACAATATTAATATAGGAGCTTCAAAATCAAGCAAACTTGATTTACTCCACAGTTTATTCTTATAAGATTAGACATCTTTAACCAATAATTAATTTTCCCTCATCTACTACCAGAAAGCCACCACAGGTGTTCCCCATATTTTTTCATAAAATGGACAGCAAAGATGTTGAACTAACTTTGCAAATGACTTAAAGTATTGGTCAGTAAACCTCTTTGGTCTCTACCAACACAGACTCCAAAAGGGGGGGAAATATTCAAAACTGCATTTGAACACAGTGAGACTTTCTGGCTGAGACTGTGTGCAGACATCAAAAGTAAGTTTTTCTCGGGGTGCCTGGCTCAGTTGGTTAAGTATCTGACTTCAGCTCAGGTAGGTCATGATCTCGTGGTTTGTGGGTTCGAGCCCCGTGACAGGCTCTGTGTTGCCAGCTCAGAGTCTGATGCCTGCTTCAGATTCTGTGTCTCCCTCTCTCTTTGTCCTTACCCTGCTAGTGTTCTGTCTCTCTCTGTCTCTCAAAAATGAATAAAAACATTAAAAAATTAAAACAAAAGTGAGTTTTTCTCAATAAGCACATAAAAAGATGCTCAACATCATTAGTCATTACAGAGAATCCAAATCAAAACCACACTGAGATACTACTTCACACCTGTCAGGATGACTAAAATCAAAAAGACAAACAAAATAAGTGTAGACAAGGAAGCGCAGAAACTGAAACCCTTATACGTTACTGGTAAGATGTAAAATGAAGACACCACTTTAGGGAAAAGTTTGGAATTCCTCAAAAACCAAGTAAAGAGTTACCATATGACCCAACAATTCCACTCCCAAGTATATATTCAAGAGAATTAAAAATACATGCTAACACAAACATGTACATGACTGTTCACAGCAGTAAAATTCATAACAAATAAGAGGTAGCAAGAGTTTGAATGTTCATCAACTGATGAATGGAGAAACCAAATGTGGCATATGCACACAATGGAATATTAGTCTGTAATTGAAAGCAATGAAGTACTGCTACATATTACAACATGGATGAACCTTGAAAACATTCTGCTAAGTAAAAGAAGCCAGTCACAAAAGACCACACACTGCGTGAGCCCATGTACATGAAATGTCAGAACTGGCAAATCCATAGAAACAGAAAGTAGATTTAGTAGTTGCCTGGGGCTGGGGAAGGGGGCAGGCAGAAATGGGGAATGAGAGCCAAATGTGTATAGGTGTGTGTGTGTGTGTGTGTGTGTGTGTGCGCGCACGCGCGCATGGACAGTGTTGAAAATGTTCAGAAATTGTGGAGATTGTTGTCCAACTACATAAATACATGAAAAACCACTGAACCATTTTTATATGTGAATTATACGTTATGTGGAATATATCTCAATAAAACTACGAGAAAGGTTATGATGAGATTGTCATGATAACTGGTGATACTTGCACAGTAGAAATACTAAGCATGGTAACAGTCTTGCAGTTAAGCTGTAGATACTAGAAATTCTTAAGAAAACGAAATTAACAGACATCAGACTCTCAGAGGGGACGTTAGCACTGAGGACCCTGGGACATTTCAGATACACAAGGACACGATAGTTTTTATGTCTTTTTTTTTTTTTTAACAGCAAGAGAAGTGGGACTCTACTTGGAATAAAGCCTAAACACATAGCTTTTGGTGCCACAGTATTTAAGTTCTATATATTTAACAAACTTCAGGAAGCAAACCAAATAAGTATATAACAAGAATATAAAACAGTTTCTTTAAATTTCTCTGTCTTCATGAAGCACCTCAGTTGTACTATTAAAGATGGTGATAGAAAATAAAATTACTTATGACTAATACATTAGCTCATAATTATGTCAGGGTAAAATGATTATATTAAGACCACATATCTAATTCAAAAGATATTAAACCAGGAAAGATAAAAATAACGTTAGAAACTTAGAATAATGTGGCATAAAGAACATTCCCTAAATGAAAAATAAACAGGGCTGCCTTTGGATAATTTTATCATTATTTAATATATTTATATAGATAAATTTTATCTTTATGTTAAAATATCAGAAATTATCTATCTTCCCTACACATGTTCCTTTCCCTGACTTAAATTTTGGGAGGCATTAAACAGGAGCATATGGGTGTGTATGTGTGTGCATTATGTATGCGGTGTCTGTGTGTAGTGTGTGTGTGTGGTGTCTGTGTGTTTAGTGTGTGTGTGGAGTGTGATGTGTTTGTGTGTAGTGTGTATGGTGTGTACAGTATGAGGGTCTAGTACATGTGTGTGTAGCGTGTGTGTGTGGTATCTGTGTGTATGTGCAGTGTGTGTGTGTGGTATGCATGTATGTGTGGGGTGGGATGTGGGTGAACGTGTGCGTGTGTGATGGATGTGCAACTTCATCTCCCAGACATAAACCCACAGGGAAAGCAGACCTGTTGGGATTACTGAAAGTTAGTATAGAATTCACCTAAAATACGACCAAATAGCGTTCAAAAGCACTCTCTGTTTGAATTCACTTGTAAATGGATTAAACAGGAAGGTGCCAGAGTGCTCAGATTAGGTTAAAACTGCTGGGGGAATGGGGAAAAACCTAAAAGGTACATGTTCTTGCTGTGTTCTTGCCTCCCAGCCATCCATCCATCCCTTCTCAGAGGAGACCTGAAACCGAAAGATGAGATGTACATCTGACCTCTAATAACCAGATTCCAGAACTGCCCACAAACATAAGGACAGTAACATAATAAATAGTGACATTAGGAGTCAAGAAAATACCTCTATTGGCTCTTTGGGGTCATAATCTGAGAGATGTACAGCATATCGCTAAATTCTCAGGGACAAACCTATGATCCAGCCACACCTGTGACCCAGCTGGGAGCTCTGTAATGTTATTGCTGCTAATGGCTGGTGCTTAGGTCTGCGTGGGACCGTGAAATGAACGCCCAATAATAATGGAAGCAGATGATAAACAGGATTCATAGGACTGAAGACCCAGCGGATATAAGCACAACAAAATACAACTTACACCTGACCCCAGAGTACAGGTGAGTAGTGCTGGTGTGTTAATCCCATGCCTCAAAGCGGCTACTGCATAAAGTAATGTTTAAAATCTCCCTTTCACAGGCACCTGGGTGGCTCAGTCGGTCGAGCGCCCGACTTCACCTCAGGTCATGCATCTGGGTTCGGTGGGTTCAAGCCCAGCATCCGGGTCTCTGCTGTCAGCAGAGTCCACTTCAGATCCTCTGTGCCCCCCTCTCTCTGCCCCTCCCCTGCACGCGCTCTCTCAAAAATGAATAAACTTTAAAATAAAATCTCCCTTTTGTGTTTTTATGTATGTTTCTAAATTATAATTCCATATCAAGAAATAGTAGATTATATATCTTATTTTACCAGATTGTAGACGGAGCAAGGAAAAAGACTGCCAGTCAAGACCTCTG